AGTGCTCTGGCCTGATAGGAAGTTGCTGTTGTGTACCCTTCAGGTCAGGGCTTGTTTCCCATGCTGATATGTATGAAAGTCGACTAAATCTCATAAACATCTCCTCAAGGGAAAAACACGAGGGGTGCAACACTGTGTTGGCCCAATGTGATTTCAGCCTCAAAGTCTCTACAACGAGCTCACATGAGTCATGAGTCTAGATAAGTTACTTATGGTAGTCATCAAAACAAGTGAAGCCGAATCGGAGTCGTTGTTACCAGTGAAGGTCTTAGCCTATGTGGGGTGGCGCGCAAAAGATGTTGATAGGGCGGCCACACAATCTCAAGAGGTAAGCAGCTGAGAAAACAAACAACAGTTTGTTCGTCCCCTGCGCTGGTCTGACCGTGGGGATGATGGCTTTCTGAGATTGACCATCTGAGCAGTCGTCATTGACCAATATGGATGTAAACATCAATATCCCCCGCAAAATATTTGTGTTCGTTACAAAGTGGGACTCGAATGTTTGGCAGGCGCCCTTTGACAGGAGAAACAGCTCATAAAGCATGTTACCCCAGCGGGACGAGGTTGTTAGGGTCTACACTCTTAACAGTGAAAATAGCAATCAACACGTCCGCTGATACTTTCGAGTTAAGACTAAACCTAACGTACTTCATGTCTACTGCAAAATGTATTCAAGCTTGCCGAGTATTATCTACAAAGGGCCGTTTGAATGACGTGGTCCTTGCTGGCAGCTTGTCATTAGCTGCATTGGAGAGGGAAGGTTTACTGGCAACAACAAAAAATTTACCCAAATATGCTAATAGAAAATGGTAATGATCACATTCTTGCTGAAAGAGCAACAGGCATTTTGGATGCAGGCACAATGTTGCGAATGTGTTCCACGCATGCCTGATCTACGGAAGCATCATAACAATCAGTCATTGATGTTATGTTCAGGCTGAAGTTCATTGTGAAGGGCAGCTGCCATCTGATGAACCATCCTAATGCAAGGGCCGAATTGACTCCATAAACAAGAAACCGAGTAGCACATCTGGAGGGAAGAGTTGCACACGGCCACAGTCAGTGGTTAAACAACTCCCTCCGAGAAACTGGACATTACAGTTGAACAACTTGATAACAAGGTCCTTGTTATAACAGGTACTTTGTACAAAAAGAAAAGAAAAAAGAAAATCAAAGACTTGGGACTTAACATTTTCCCTGTTATCCGCTCCGTTCTCAAGTACCCCCTCACCGGCAAAGAAAGTACAGTTGGGGGTGACCAATCGACGCCATCTTGCCTGACTGCAATTTTGCCGCGACGCGCGGCCGTACCACTGCGTGTACATAGTACAAATCCCCTGGTAGACGTGCGTCACACACAAGGAACGGTGCGCGTCAACCTGCTAAATGTCCCGCCCATAAGACGTCGTTGCTAGGTAAAAGGGCGCCCTCTTTCATTGGCGCACGGAGCCCATAAGCACAAAGTTGTATTAACTGTGCTTTCTTACCAGGGTTCGACTGTGCATACACATGTACACTGAACACTGTACACTGTGTAAATGTGCATAAAAGCTGCAGCGATTTCAGTGCAGGCAGAAACACCGACGCATGGCTGAGCACAGTGCGGCATGTCCCTTTGTCATCAAGCCACCCAACCGTGGCTACTGTAGAGGGATACAGAGCATGGCTCGCAACTCAGACGGGCCATTCCATCAATTGCACCTGCCAAGTTTGTTTGTTTTTTCCAATAGGCACATAGGACCGACAATGAAATCGGCAATGTAGCTGATAACAATTGCAAGGCTTGCAATGAGTGGCCTAAAAAAAAAAAAGTCCTCATCCCAGCTGCGTTTGCCGCAGTGGGATCGGTGCAATAAATCACCTGAATTTGACTGAAGAATAAGAAGAACGAAACGGTCAATGATAGTAATCCTGTTCCCGCCTGAAAATTGGACGCCATTTGTCCGTTGACATAATGTTGTCGATGTGTTCCACACACACTTGATCCAACGGTAGTATGGGGAACACCACGGTCATTGTTAGATGTGAAGCCCGTCCTGCGCTTGAAAGATTTATGATCGGGCGGAGGGGGCTCATCGGGGGCGGGGGCGGGGGCGGGGGGGGGGGGGGGGGTCATGTCCCTCTACACAAAACGGAGTTCCGTTTCTGCGATGGACAGCTGCTGTAATTGGTCTGGTTCTTTGTCATCATCGGCATCATCGGCTGATTGCGAAGGTCGAGTTGACTCTGGTGAATGAGTGCCGTCTGGAGGGGCAAGTTGTACAGAACCACGAGGCGGTGGCTGGGCAACTCCCTCGGAGACAAAAGACACGGGTGGGGATCCCGGCGCACGGCTAACTGCGTGCAGTAGGTCCCGTTGGTCAGTGCCCATGCGAATCTCCTATGTCGATCAAGCTGGTTTGATTGAGGCATTCCAGGGCAATGGCCATGATTACCTGGAATTGGCGGATAACCTAGCAATAAAGAGATCCACAGCCAGATCCATAGTAGCCACCTATCTGAAAACAGCAAGACCTGAACATTTCCTGTGGGCGGAGCACATCATTTAAAGATGGACGAGGATATGAAGAACCACCTTCAAGTTATCCTCCAGACGTACCCGCTCCTCACACTCTGCTAAATGAAGGAGAGTCTGAGAGAGAACCTTCCTCAAAAGCCTGACGTTTCTACCTCCACCATAGCCAGGGCACTGGCCGACCCAAACCGACCCAAACCGAAACCAACCCAGAAAAAAACCCCCGAATATCTGGCTTGGACAAACTGATCACTTTTTTTGTGCTTGCCTTTACCCACGTGGCATGCATTCTAATGCAAAACCATCGTCTCTCTCTGTCATACTCAGTGGGTTGATCAAGAGTAACTCCGCTTATTGAACAAATGCGTGGTATCACCACGTGGTGTCAGTGTCGATCTGACTGGAGAAACTGATACCGTTGGAACTTGGTAGTATATACTGTAACGTAGAACGAATCTGGGGTTCTCACACGCCAGACGAAGGAAACCACAGACACCATTCATCAGGGCTTCGGGGCTCTCCGGCCATTTATTCTTGCCACTTTCTTTACACGAGGCTCTCTATTTATACAACTCACAACAAAAAGGAACGCTATACAAAAGTCACACTACTGAGTCGGCGCAGTCTGGCAACGGGTCTCCCTGGCCCAGCAGCAGGGGTCCCAACGCTACAGTTGCACCGTGGGTCCGAGCTGGTGCCCTCTGCCGGCGGCCCAGCACCGCCGTTACACAGCCCCCTCCGAGGACCCTTGTTCGTCCCCGAACAAGGCGGCGCCTCCGCTGGGGTATCCGCTTGGGTCTCCTGGTCTCCTCCGGGGTCACCTCTGGGGTCTCCTCTGGGTTTTCCTTTGGTTTCCCTCTGCCGGCGGCCCGGCACCGCCGTTACAATACGCACATTGGCCACACCACAATGGGCTGCGGTCACAGTAACAGTCAATAATATTGCATCACCTGAATTTCTAAACTGTTTCAGTTTATTTTATTTATTTTTCAAAAGATGGCTAAACCAACCCGGCCCGACCCGAAAATGTAAATGCAAACCTTGGAGCCTTTCGAGGAGTTGCTCGCTGCAACCGTGGCAGAATGCGATGGGTTGCTCACAGGGGATGACCCCATATTCCTAATTTACGACAATGCCAGGCCTCATATGCAAGCTCAGCTACCTGATAGAACCAACCCCAACATCCAAACCAAGCTGTTTTCACATTATTCACCATTTCTGATCATGACGGAGATGGCCTGATTGGCCTTCAAGACTGTGGTGAAGAGGGCTATGGCGCTCTCATTGGTTTCGTGTACAAAACCAATGAGAGCTGTTACTAAAAAGTAGTTAGAGTACAAACAAAGAAATGAGGATTAGGGCAGGGGGTTCACGATTGCCGGTGTTTACTAAGATTGGTGTGGGTTGGTTATCCAATTAGACTAAGGACTTGGGACAATGGGGTGTGTGCGATTTCAATGGGCCCGAGGATCTGGGCAGTAGTACAAACAAAAGAGAACAAAAGAAGGAAAGGGGCAGTTCCTCATGAGTATAGTAAAAACGAGCTGCTGTGTGTGTGTGTGTGGGGGGGGTGTGTTTGTTGTATATAAAAATATCAAATTATTCAGTAAACTCCATTGTCCATTTCAGTATTCCTCATATACATTGTACTTTCCTTCTCCAATTTGAAGGCTTGAAGTGCGAAAATGATTGCCCATAGACGAAAAAGAAAGCAAAATTCGGTAGGGAATTCTCCTTATAGTCACCAAGTGCGCGCGCGAAATTGAATGACGGGTATGCGTTGTCTAACTGAATGAAGCTAGTTCTAAATTAACGCATGAAAGTACACAATTCAAAGTCTGCAAAAGAAATTGACGGCTCAAAGTTTGAAAATGAAGCATGAGAGCAACGAGCTGAGAAGCAGTAATGTATCTGGCTATAAAATTGACATATTCTCAAAGGGCACTGAGGAAACTGATATTAGCCATTTTCTCTCATCTGTTTACTTGATCCTTAGGGAATGTTATAACCGGTAATGTAATAATCGATATGTATTTTAACACCGAACGGAAATGTAACAAAAATTGACCTAGAATTGTCAAAACAAAACTTAAATTGAGTTGTACATCAATGTAATATGTAAGATATCTTCCAGTTTGTCTTGGACAGGAGTGGCAAAGGAAGCTTTCTGTGCTTGCTTTGTCACCATTATTTGCCAGCGTCATTTTTGGCGGATACAGGCGGGTTATAAATTGCCGTTATTATTATTATTATTATTATGTCCTATGCAGAATTTACAATAACAAGAACTGTTAAAATTCCGTGGTATCCTGTTTGGAACACAAAAGGGGTGCTGTGAAATCATTGTTTAAATATAAGCACATACTGAAGAAGGCTTGTATAAAAGAATGGAATCCACTGAAGGCTAAAAATAAAGTTAGTAAACCACAATTTAAACTTGTTGCAAATTAGAAATTAAAAAAGGCTAAAATAAACTGATTTTTACCTGTTGCTCTAGAAAATACATCTCTGCCTTAGTCCTCTCTTCTGGACTAACTGGTATTCCATCAATGCACAGCAAGTTAGGTTGTCTCAACACAAGCAACGGACGATGCATCAACCTTCTGGATACCTGAAGATTGGTGAAAACATGTTAGTAATTTCATATACAAATAACGTGTACATATACTATAGGTTTTCCCGGCCAATTTTGAATATTGGTCATTCGTTTTCGTCTGAATTTGAATGCACGTCTTTAATCCCATTTCAATTCGACGAAAGTTCAATGATTTTCATTGTGCGTGCATTCGGTTTTGAGAAACAGACGGCCAATTACGTTACCAGTGCATTCATTTACGCAAGCATACCTTTTCTAAATTGATTTCAGGTACAGCTAATTTGATTCACGGTTAATGAAAAAGAAACCCCTGATTTTATCTGGTGCTGATAGATTGACGAATGTTTGAAATCGCCTCCTAAAAGCGAAATAGAAATCTTGTAAATGAATCATAACGAAAGGTGCTGCTCAATCACTTAATTGATTGAACTGCAATGGAATCAAATGCTTTGGTAGAGAAAATGAAACACGTGTTCAGAGCGATTCTCAAATTCAGAAGAAAATGAAAGACCGATTTGCAAACGTGAATAAACATTGTGGGAATTTGGCCAGGAAAACCTATAGTTCCACTCTGATAATCTGCCCAAAAGGCACAACAAACAAGTTACACAATCATAATGCCACTAGATATTAAACAATGTGATGTTTTGGTAAGAAAAAAATTAATATTAATATAAAAATACAGTCTTTTATTTTTTTTAACATTTAGTTCATTGGCTATTCGGCACAGTTGCGGAAACGACTTTGCTTTTGTTCTGATTTTTGGGGGGCTTTTTTCTTTGTTTTAAATCTGAATTTTGTCCCTTCTGTTTTCTTTTCCATCCCAAGTCCCACAGACTTTGTACACAATTTTTTTCCGGTACAACGTATGCAACTGGCACCCCCTAACCCATAGGCGTAACTATTTGTTATCTTCTTTTGTTTTTAAGGTCTTACACGGCGTCACACTTTGTGAATCCATTAGAAACAACACTTTCATCAACCCTTGTCATCTTGACTCCCTCACATTCTGCCATCTTCCCACTCGTACAGATACACTACTTCACTCCCCTTCACGTCGATTCCTGAGGTTGTGGGACACTATTCCACCACACATCCGGGATGCTACTGCAATCTGTCCCCTTCCGACATTTCTGCTCCAACTTAAAGACATCTGCTTAAATCCTGAATCATTGTTTACTTTGAATCTACCCATATTGACCCAGGAGCATGCAATTATTCAGTCTTCCTCTCCCTGCCTGTTCGTGTCTTGTGGATTTTTTCTTCCAGTGTTCCTGTCTTACTATGTGTGGGATAACATGCTTCCGAGCAACTATAATTTAGTTTACTTTTGTTGTCCCTGACCTGCAGAGTATTGTGTTTCTTTTGTGTGTTTTTACTTGCGTTTTTTTGGGGTGTCCCTTCAACTGCATGCTCTCCTCATACACTCATCCTCTCATTACTCATTATTCATGGATTTTAACTTAGTTCACTATATGCTCATCTAGTTGCCCTGCTGTTATCATCTTTGTTGTATATTGTACATGTATATAGCTTTTTTTGTCTCGTTATTTTTGTATTTCTAGTTTTTGGATTTGTTCTGTACATGAATATATATATATATATATTTTGTCTGTTTTTTTTTTTTTTTTTTTGAGGTCGAATAAATAATAATAATATTAAATAATAATCTTAAAAGTGCATATTTTAAAGCCCTATATATAGAGAACTGTTAGTCAGATTGGGTTGAAACTTGGTGTATATACAGCGCGTCCCAAAATACCCGCAACATTTTTTGCGAGGCTCTAGCGGTAAGTATTGGTTTGACTTTCAGAAGGTACTAAAATTATTTGTGTTCAAATAAAGGCATGTCCAAAAAAAAAAACTCATTCGATTTCAAGAAAAATCAATCATGTGCTTTTTTTTTAATGTGGAAATGCTTCATGTTCATAATGTAATGATCTTGTTGCCTTTTACAGGGTGAGTCATTAAAATTATATTTCATATTTAAATATGTAGCACCAAAATATAACGACTGGTAAGCCAAATTCATAAGGTACTTTTAGATGAAAAAATGACTGAAATTGGTCAATCCGTTTACAATAAATATCACCATTTGAACACAATGACCCTAAAACCTGTCTCGTCAAAAAAATGCGATTTCAAGAATCGTCGCAATTGTTTTCAAACATCACCAGCGATAAAATCTCACTTTAAATGTTAAAAATATTAATAAGGAAACCCTTTGAAGGCCCGTCCTTTAAACAAGATTTTATAAATCATATTGCTTGCCTAACCAGGGTTGTTAATAAAGATATTGTGTACTACAGTTGGTGACAGTTGCTGAAACAAGTATTCTGTGTCATTTTCTTTGTTGTTCCAAACAGTCAAAACACACAATGAATTGCTTTTTTTTTTGGACGAGACAGGTTTTAGTGTCATTGTGTTTAAATGGTGATATTCTTTGGACGGATTGAGTAATTTCAGTATTTTTTTCATCTAAAAGTAGCTTATGAAATTGGTTTTCCAGTCATTATTATTGGTACTACATATTTTTTTTAAATATGAAATATATTTTATTGGGTTTGGGTTCCCCTTTTTTTGACTCACCCTGTACTTTCTGTGTTTCCTTTTCTTTTCGATCAACGCAGACTTCACCTTAAATAAATTTACAATATTGCTCTTTGTTTCAAGTTCAATGAGTTGTTAATATAAATCATTTGGTTTTTTTTATGGACCTTGTTGACTTGAGTTTGCATCTGAAGTCCCTTATCATAAATTGATTTTGTCTTCAACATGTTTTATTTGAGCACGAATAATTTTAGAACTCTTTTAAATATCAAACCGATAATCGCCAGGGATAAAATTATTAAAGATTCCCAGCTTTAAAATGGTATAACAATAATGGCAGTACATGTTTCTGTGCCGACACTAGCGTCTCGCCAAAAAAGTTGCAAATATCTTGGGGCGTGTGATGTGTTATAGGTCAAAATTTTCATGATGACGCCATCATGTGATTTTACTTGCTTTTTTTTTTTTGATTTTGAACCTTAAAGCCATATTAAATTCAAAATTCTTTTTGTGATAGATTTGTTAGGCAATCGATATTTGCCAGCGGCGGCGGAATGGTTTTTAAACTGGGGGGGCATCACCGAAAAGGGGCACTTGCTAAGTATTTTTTTTGGCACATCCATGCTGAAAGGTTGACACATTTTTGTCACCTGACACTAGTGGGGGGCGGGGGGGGGGGGCTAGCTGGTACCATCTTTCAAAATAGGGGGCGCTCTTCAAAACCGGCAATATGCAGCAAACTACGCATTATGTGCCCATTTTCAGGGCGCATTGTGAAGCTTTTGGGGCATGGTTTTCATATTCCTCATTCATGTCAATATCTATACCATTTTGGGTAATGGTTACTTTAAACAAATGTCAGAAACTTTTAGGGCATTTTTTTTTTCCATCTCGAGGGCGCACATTCATGCTCGAGGGGGAACATTTATGTTGGCAAAAGGGGCACTTGGGTAAATCTGGGGGAGGGGAAGTGCCTCCCAGCCCCCCCGGTTCCGCCACCCCTGATATTTACACAAAAATGAGACAATTATGTAATGTCATGATGACATCATAAAAAATGCAATGTGTAAAGACGTCATGATGACGTCATAAAAAAATGCAGTTATTAAAACACATATAATGGAATGTCCTATCATCAAGAAACTTGCTGGGAAGCTAGATGATATTAAATTTTAAAATTTAATGTATGTACCTCTGTCATTTCTGTTTTAGCCTCTGAAGAAGAACTTGCTAAGTTCGCAACGTCAGGCCACATTAATTTTAAGATTTAAATTTTAAAATCTGAATTTTTAAAGTTTTAATGTTTAATTTGTACTGAATTAGACACTCTCTTTGCTCAGATCGACTCTCAACTTGCACAGGCTAAGACTACATTGTAAATGCGTGCATTGACAAGTGCCATCAACATGACGTCCTCATTTGCCTTGTGATGTTGTCATAAGGGTGCATTTTTTAAAGTCCTATATCTATATGTCAAGGTGTTAGATGGAAGTGGGGGTATGGGTTGGTCCTATATCTATATGTCAAGGTGTTAGATGGAAGTGGGGGTATGGGTTGGTCCTATATCTATATGTCAAGGTGTTAGATGGAAGTGGGGGTATGGGTTGGTCCTATATCTATATGTCAAGGTGTTAGATGGAAGTGGGGGTATGGGTTGGTCCTATATCTATATGTCAAGGTGTTAGATGGAAGTGGGGGTATGGGTTGGTCCTATATCTATATGTCAAGGTGTTAGATGGAAGTGGGGGTATGGGTTGGTCCTATATCTATATGTCAACGTGTTAGATGGAAGTGGGGGTATGGGTTGGTCCTATATCTATATGTCAAGGTGTTAGATGGAAGTGGGGGTATGGGTTGGTCCTATATCTATATGTCAAGGTGCTAGATGGAAGTGGGGGTATGGGTTGGTCCTATATCTATATGTCAAGGTGCTAGATGGAAGTGGGGGTATGGGTTGGTCCTATATCTATATGTCAAGGTGTTAGATGGAAGTGGGGGTATGGGTTGGTCCTATATCTATATGTCAAGGTGCTAGATGGAAGTGGGGGTATGGGTTGGTCCTATATCTATATGTCAAGGTGCTAGATGGAAGTGGGGGTATGGGTTGGTCCTATATCTATATGTCAAGGTGTTAGATGGAAGTGGGGGTATGGGTTAGGAATGTTGTTAATGGGGCTGTTTTTCATTTCATTTAGTACATTTGTTTTGTTTTCTTTACTGTGCAATTTCTATTGTTGGTTCTTATCTTCGTGCATCGCCTTTGGTAATGAGTGTATTTTTTTACATGTTTAACTGAATTTTTAATGATGTACAAAGGAAAGCAAATTTCATGTGGCACATGATGGATGAATAAATAAATTGAATTGAATTGAGTCAAGAGAACTAAAAGTGTGATTGCGTATAACCTTTGTCTGTTTATATATGGGGATGTGTTTACGAAAATTGAGATGACATCACATAGGCAT